ACACCAAATTATCGACAACACTTCAGCAAACTAGGCGCGAAGAATAGGTGGAATGACACCGGAGAACTGAGGAACGACGGGTCCGACACTTTGCCGAATCATTTGCAAGTAGTAATCAGCTAAATTCTTGTTCATTTGTTAGATTTGAAAAATGCATAGAAATTTCAAAATGATGATGTCTTTCCATGTTTACAAATGTACACATATAGCACTGTATGCATGGGGTGCAGTTTTCAAGTTCCAATGCTAAGCTATGGAGCCGATTTTTTTGCGAGGAAATGACAGAATATCAGCGTTTAGGAAAGCGGAAGGTGCTGGGGATGATAAAGTTAAAGCAACTTTACTTTTCCTCGAATACTTCTTCAATTATAACCACAAAAATTCAGGTAATCAGTAAGTTGTCTTCAGATCAGCTGAAGCCTCAACATATTCAACTCTTTTTCAGGCGGATGTCAGCATGCTGCCGTGTTGGGGAGTGCTCAAAGAAATCAAGGAATGCTTTCGGCTTGGTCTCATGGCGAAGTATGCCAACGACAAATCAGTATGAGTTCCTTTTTAACAGCTTTTTGTACATAATGTTGTTGGCCATCTGTGAATACATTCATGTTTGTATTTTCAATGTTTTACAGAAATCCTTCAGCCTACGTCTATTTGATTTGTCAGATAAACGAATAAAATGCCACGAACTTTTTGTCAGTTTCCATCACAAATACCAATTCCCGCTTCTGCTTTTGAAAATGTTCTAATTTGGAGAGAAACTCTTTGAATTACACTTTCACACTGAATACTACTCATTTTACTGTGGTGCTCTGATTTAACCGTGTTCTTATGATAAAACATTTTTGTGTCGAAGTGAAAGAAATATTCACCGCGAAATCGATGCGGCTAGCAATTTCTGTAAGAGTGTTGTAACCGAAGCTAAATTTACCGTCCAGCCTGTTGTTAGCAAATCTCGTGTAGGTTTTCCTCTGCGTTCCCTTACTTTTCGGCAGAGTATTCTCTATGCCGCTTTTGCAGTTTTCCATTAATGAAATGAAAATTTACCAACACATCAAAACTTCGAACAAAATTTAGTAAAACATATAACTGAATATGCAAAATTTCACCGCCTACGATTCACAAACGGATTTTCGACGATTACCGCTTAGCCTTGCCTTTGCCTTCCACATCCAGGTAGTCCGAGTCGGCAATATTCAACATCAGACCACCAGAAGGCAGATAAACCTGCAACAACGTACAATGTTCATAAAAAACAAAGAAGTAGCATTTTTTTTTACGTCGAAAACAGCATTTTTTTTTCAGTTTTTTCTCAACCATTCACGCAGTTCAGTCATCAGAATGATAAGTACACTGTCAATTTACACTCAGATCGAAGCAAAAAAAGGTAAACATACCCTGTTATTCGCAGCTTCTGATATTGTCTTCGAAATTCTTTGAGCTGCACGGATTTTACGCAATTTTAAGAAGCCCGGATCTTGCTTCATTGCTTCGCCTATCTGAAAAATACATAGCTGCTCCTCGAAAAAGCTGCAGGCAACTTGGGTGCCTAGCAAGTAACTTATGCAGACCAGACCAGTTTACTCTCCAAGTCGAAAAA